CATGGGAACCCACAGGGTCTCAGTCACAGGGGCAGGGGAGGAGAGTGAGTGCGGCAGCCGGCCTTACCGTCAGTGTGCACACCCACGATGAGGTGGTCGCCCATGGCCCGTGCCTGGCGCAGCTGGTTGGAGTGGCCATAATGTACCATGTCATAGCTGTGGAGAGGACAGGGTGGTCATCCCTGTGCCAGGAAATGTCCCTAGGAAGTCAGCACTGGGAACTGCTCCTGGGGTCTGATGGGCCCCAGCTCTCAGAGAGAAGAGAGAGCTCAGGGCCCAGGGCCACATTTAGCAAGCACAGCAGGGCCCAGGGACAAGGCTACTGGCAGCCTTTAAGGGGCGAGCAGACAGAACAGCCCCTGCTCCCACACGTGGGACGGTGCTCTGCACACAGCCTGGCCCCTCACCAAATGCAAACTGTCAACGGCAGTCCCTTTAAGGTGCAGGAGAAACTGACGTTAACTCAGCAGCGGACAGGACTCTGCACTATCCTAAGGGAGCAGAACAGCCCCTGGGGCCAACGGGAAACAAAGTCCAACTAAAGAACGGAGGCGCTGCCTGGCTTTAAAGACTCTGCCTGTTCCCCTGTGGCCTCAGTGAGGCTTTGCTTCCTGGGGCCAACAAGCACCTCCCTGTCACCTGGTTCTAGAGCTTCTATCTTCAAATGCAGGCCCGGTTACGAGTGAACTCTCAGCTGAAGGCCAACGCAGCACCCATGGCTCCACTCGGAGCCTCACTTCTTTGCAGGCCCAGACCTGGGCCCTCGTGCTAGATCTGCTCCTTCCAGACTTGTGTCACCTTCCGAGCAGGTGGAGCTGCCCCTGCTTCTCCAGGTGACCCAGGCTCCCAGGTGTACAGAGCTGTTCCACTCACTGCCACCTGCTAACCCCACCACAGCACACCATGTTCCAGTAGACAAGCCTGCAGGGTCATGGGGCTCTGGTCCTGAGGTAAGCGAAGGGGGAAGTCCAAATTCAGGAGCCTGACCAGACCCTGTGCCCACTGTGCAGGAGGGGTCAGAGGCCGGGCCAGGGGCTGTACAGCACAGAACGCAGGGCGGGGCTGGGTCCAAGGGGTATCCCAGTCACCGTGGCCTCTGCCAGTGGAGGCAGGGGCCTGGCCTGGTCAGGGCCAAGGTCAGATTCCATGGACACGAAGCCACACCTCCTTCCCCAAGGTGACTCAGGTGCAGGCGTGGGAGTTTGGCAGCCTGGCTGGCTCGCCTCTGAAGACCTGAATTACAGATTTTTCTTTCTCTGCTTCTGTTAAATAAAGGTCTGAGAAAGTACCGAGGATGGCAAGTTACCAGTAGAAAGTAACTTTTCTCTTGTCTGCTGACAGCCTCAAACCTGCCTTAAAACCACTCCAGCTATCTGATTTGCCAGAAGAGGACAGATGGGACCAGTTACCCTCCTCAGCCCCTGCGGGCTTCACTAAGGTCCTGTGCAGATCGGGCAATGCCTACGCCAACCCTGGCCGGGACATACAGAGAGAATCTTCCTGGTTTCGTGCTGGGCAAGCTGGGAGCCGGACAAGAACTCCGCGAAGACATTTTGGGTGCATGGCTCCTTCGCAGGAAGAGAGCTGCTATGGCACCGAAATGACCATAGTCACCAAGGTTGGACACGCAGCTTTCGCCAGCACCGTGCACGAGTTAGGCGAGACCAATGGATGCGGCTCCGACTCAATGGCAAACACGGGGGAAGGAATGTCCGGGACAGGCGCTCGTATCGGAATCCGCAGGAAGCGTCCAGCGACCCTGGGGAAGGCTGCCCGCGGCGGGCACGGTGGCCGGGTCCCAGGCGTCCTCCGCCGCCCGCCGCCCACTCCCGCGCTCGCCGCCCGCCCGGGCCTGGGAGAAGGCGGCCACCACGGCCCCGCCCCGCGCCCCTAGCCGCGCTCACCAGCCGTCGCACCACACCCGCACGGCGCGCCTGGACCCCGGGCCCGGC